GATGGAGGAATGATTTGGTGGCCCTGGTTCCAGTAACCATATTAATTCCTTGTGATGGAGCCTTGTATTTCAGTTCAGTTCCCATAAGCTTTTTTTTTTTTTTTTAAGAATTTTTCATTTTATTTATTTATTTATTTTTTAAAGATTTTTTATTCATTTGACAGAGAGAGACACAGCGAGAGAGGGAACACAAGCAGGGGGAGTGGGAGAGGGAGAAGCAGGCTTCCCGCTGAGCAGGGAGCCCAACGCAGGGCTCGATCCCAGGACTCCCAGATCATGACCTGAGCCAAAGGCAAATGCTCAACGACTGAGCCACCCAGGCGCCTCAAGTTCCCATAAGCTTTATCCTGCCTTCCAACATTTCTCCCAGGGGCTCTACATCTGACACCCTGTTTCCAGCTTCCAACTCTTCAAGAGTTATCCTCCCTGGACCATGCCCTGCAGCTGTACCCTCTGGATCAGGACTGCCTGCTGAACTGGCATCTGTCTTGTCACTTATCTGGCCTTACCTCTGAGTCCCTATTTTCCCTAAGAGAGGTTTCTGGTTTGCTGATCCAGCTCTTCCCCAGGTATGGAATGTTTGTTCTGTTGCCAAGTGAACAGGTGAATTCATCCAAACACTGGTGGTTAGCATGCAGCCCCCTTCCAGCCAAGACCACCCATGGTCCTGCTGCATAGCCCACTTCTTGACCACATCTGGTTGCCCTCTGCTGTGACAGCTGCTTCTGAGACTATCTGGTCTCCTGGCTCCCCAAGTCTAGCTCCCTTCCTCCAAATGTCACTGCCCAGGCTCCTCTGAAGGGTCCTGCTACCCCCACTCAGGCACTGCCGTCCCTTGGGGCTCTGGCCCTTGACCTACTCTCAATACTTGGGGTTCTTGACCAGCAGGAAACATCCCCCAGGGCCTAGAGTTTCTCTTAATTTTGGAGGCTAAAGACCCTTCAGGAATCTGACAAAATTATGGACTATTTGCCCCCCGGAACACACACATATACTGGAATTCTGTATATATGTTCCAGGGTTCCATATATATTCACATATGTTAATTCTATACATATGAATAAATCCCAAATATGCTACTCCACCTGGGCCTCTCTCCAGAACTTTATTTTTTTAAGTGGTTTCCACACCGAGTGTGGAGCCTGATGCAGGGCTTGAACTCATGACCCTGGGATCAAGAACTGAGCTGCAATCAAGGGTCAAATGCTTTACCGACTGAGCCACCCAGGCGCCCCTCTCTCCTGAACTTCAGATGTAGATATACCTGCTCTGTCCAACATAGCAGCCAACAGCCGTACGTGGCTACTTAAGTTTAAATTTAAATTAATTAAAATTAAATTAAAATTAAAATTCAGCACCTTAATCCTGCCAGCTACGTGTCATGTGCTCATAGCCACGTGTGGCCAGTGGCAGTCCCATCACGGGACAGCACCGATGTCGAGCGTTTCCTTCATTAGAGAATGTTCTATCTAACAGAACAGTCTATTGATGTATAGGAGTGGTTGCTGATCATTTCTATTTGAATGTCCGCTAGGCCATCCCCCTCCTGTTGGATTAGTCGGCAGTACCACGTGTAACTATGATACCATGTCACCACCCTAAAATCTCAGTGGCTTACAGAAACAAGCGTCGTCCCAACTCCCTTGCCTGCGGGGCCGCTGGGGCAGCTGATTCGCCTGCAGGTCTCATCAGCCCTGCTCTCTGTGTTTTGATGTAGGCCCCAGACTGCAGGGGAGCAGACACAGGGACTTGCTCTTCCGGATGTCGCTTCCTTATATTTGCTCACATTCTACGGGCCAAATTGAAGTTCGGGGCCAGGCCCCACAGCAGGGGATGAGTCATGGTGTGGATTGCCCGTGGGGCACCACGGGTGGACAGGAAAGGAAGGAAAAGCTGCAAACTAATAACCCAACCTCCCAGAGGCCAGAACTACCCCCAGATCCGTTTCTCCTCAGACATTCTGTGCCTCAGTAGGCGCTGACTCTCCCTTTGGCCACTCGAGGAGCCAGCCACGAGCTTGCTGATCCACAAACCACCTGGCCAGGAACACACAGAGGCACAGATGTCAAGCTCCTGCTTGGGCAGCAGACATGTGCAGCAACATGGAGCTCCTGGTGTCATGGTGTCAACGGGGGCTGGGGCGGGGGGAGAGAAGGGGGGAATCATAGCACAGCCCGAGCAGGGTGGTGGGCTCCTCCCCAGACCAGCACAGTGGTGAGATCTCAGAGCGTGACTCTCCAGATCTCCCAGTAATGTGATGAATTATCCAATTTCCTTTTAAAATCCCTTTTAGTCTAAACAATAGGAATATATCTCCCAGTAATGTGATGAATTATCCAATTTCCTTTTAAAATCCCTTTTAGTCTAAACAACAGGAATATATGGCTTAAACAACAGACATTTATTTTATCACAGTGCTGGAGGCTGGAAGTCCAAGGTCAAGGTGGGGACAGGACTGGTTCTTCCTGAGGCCTCTCTCCTGGGATTGTAGACACTGTCTTCTCCCGTGTCCTCACATGGTCACCCCGCTGTGTGCCTCTGTGTCCCAACTTCTTATAAGGACCCCAGTCAGACTGGATCAGGGCCCCACCCTGATGGCCTCATTTTACCTTAATCACCTCTGTAAAGGCCCCATCACCAAACACAGTCACATTTTGAGGGAAATTCATATGTCAAGGCTTCAACATACGAGTTTCAGAGGGACACGGTTCAGCCCATCACAGCTGCCATATTCAGTGGCTGTGGCTTGCAGCCCAGGACACTGACCACTGCACCTGCCACCCCAGCCCCAATTCAGGCTCCTCATTTCTCACCAACCTAACTGGCCCTCTAGCCACTTGTCATCTCTGGTCTTAGTACCCTCAAATCCAGGTAGGATTCTAATGTCATCCCGAGAGTCTCATCCCCTAAGGACTAAGCTAAGCACTGCTGTGAAGACTCTGCCAATGTCATCAAGGTTGCAGACCTTAAAATGGGGAGAGTATCCTGGATCAACCAGCTGGGTCCAGCCCAGTAACCGGAGCCCTTAAATGCAGAGATGTCTCTGGCTAGAGGCAGAGGCAAAGAGACCAAAGCGTGAGACTCAACCCATGTCCCTGAAGGGCACCGTGAGGCAGGGAATGCAGGTGGTGTCTAGAATCTGACAGCCAGCCAGCCAGGAACAGGAAATTCACCCTAAGACCGCATGGACCTGAATTCTACCAACACCCTGAATGAGCCTGAAAACCACTATTCCCTGGAGTCCCCATAAAGCCCACCTGACTGACCCCTTGATTCCAGCCTTGCCCAGCAGACTTTGCAACACAATGTGAGATAATAAGCATGTTTTTTTTTTAAAGATTTTATTTATTTATTTATTAGAGAGCGAGCGAGCGAGAAACAGCGTGAGAGGGGAGAGGGTCAGAGGGAGAAGCAGGCTCCCCACTGAGCCGGGAGCCGGATGTGGGACTCGATCCCAGGATTCCGGGATCATGACCTGAGCCGAAGGCATTCGCTTAACCAACTAAGCCACCCAGGCGCCCCAGTAAGCATGTTTTAAGCCACTGAGTTTGTAATAGAGCAACAAGGGGAAACTAATACACCATCATCTATATAGCAGTGACCTTTCTAAAGTACGCTCATAACCCTCCTGTGTAAAATCCTCAACAGCCCACCTAAACAGTGGTTCTCAAATTGTCTGCAAAGGAAACCCAGGGCTCCCTGCAACTGCGTTTGGGGCTAAAGCATCTGATGATCATTTCCTCAGAGGCAACCCGTTCTCAAATGTGTTCTATACCAAATATTAACACACTGGAAACCCCCAAAACATTAAACATTTCTGCCAGGATAACTCATTTTTGTGCAGTCCTCCTCGAGATAAAACTGGTATTACTTCACCTATTTAATTATGAAGGCCCTGAGACTGCAAAGCAGGGGTGCAGTGCATTTGCCCCAAATACAAAAAGATGCACGCAGGAGGCTATTTGTTGCAGGACTGCGCTACAAGACGGAGACTGAACGACGCACAAGTCGGTCAACAGGTTGATTAAGGGATTCACCGCCCACACAGTGGAGCTCCCAGCAGCTGCCAAAGCACTGAGGCCGATCCCCACGTATTCCTACGTGAGCGATCTCCAGGATGGATGATTACGAGAAAAAAGGCAAGGTGGAGAAAAGGGCGGATAAGGAAGGAGGAAGCGCAAACGTATACATGTATCTTCTTACAATACAGAAGACTAAACTAAAAACACTGGAAATGTCTGGCTCCGGGGAAAGGACCCAGCGTCCCCTGAGGTCTGAGGCCTGGTGCTCGCGGGCAGTGAGGATGCGCCCCTCTCCTCGAGTTCCGGGGCGCTGCATCCTTCCGCGGTCTCCAGGACTTCTGTGCGCTCTCGCCCCGCACCCGACCGCACTCCCACCGCCCGCCGCCCGGGGCCCTGCGCAGCCCGGTGCTGGGGCCCCCTGGGCGCGGGGCCCCTGCGCACCAGCACGGCTTTCCCGGGGCCGAGCCCAGCCCGGCGCTCCTCCCGGCCTGGGGCGGGCCTGGGGCGGGCCTGGGGCGGCCGGCTCCATCCCCGCCGAGGGGGCGAGAGAGGAGGGGTCTCCTCCGAGGAGACGGTGCGGCCAGGGAGGGTGCCCGCACTTCCTGGCTCCGCGGAACCCGCCCAGGCGACAGGCCCGCCCGGACCCTGCCCGCGGCCTTCTTCTCCCCGACCGCCGCCCGCACGCTCGGCTTCCCGGGGCCCGGGAGGCGGGAGGAGCGTGAGGTCCGGGCCGCGGGCCTCCGCCCGGCTGGTAACACCCGCAGCGGAGAGCGCGGGCTCCCGGCCCCGGGGGGCGCGGGGCTGGCCGCGCGGAGAGCGCGGGTGCCAGCAGGGGGCGCCGGCGGGCGGCGCGCGGGCTCCCAGGCCGAGGGGGCGGTGCCGCCCGCGCGCGGCCAGCCCCGCCCGCGCGCAGGCAACGCCTCGTCCGATTGGGCAGCGCCTCCACGCCGTCGGGGCGGGGCGAGCGTCGTCGCGTCCGGGTGACGTCTCCCGCGGGCGTCGGGCAGGGTCGGCGGCGTCGGCAGCAGTGGCGGCGGCGGCGGTGGGAAATGGCGGAGTATTTGGCCTCCATTTTCGGCACCGAGAAAGACAAGTGAGTGAGAGCCGCCCGCCGGGGCTCCGGGCCGGGGGGGCGGGCGGGCGCGCGTGGGCGGGCGGCGGCGCGCAGGCGGCGGCGGGAGGCCCGGGCGGGCGGGGGAGGGGCGCGGCGGCCCTTCCGGCCTCGGGAGCCGCGCGCCGCCGCCTCGTGGGCGCTCGGGCGGGCGGGCGGGCGGCGGGCTTCCGCTCACCGAGGAGGCCGTCCCGTCTGTTGGCGGCCCGAGCCCGCGTCTCCGGCCCCGAGCCGTCTCGACTTGTGCCGAAGTTGTCCGCGTTAACCCCTTCCCCCTGCTCCAGCCTTAAGTGTCGCGTCGGGCAAGTGGTCCAAGGCTCGCCCGTGTTAAGTCGTTCGGTGACTCGGGGCGCCGGTGGTCAACGAGCCTCTCGGCGGTTGCGGCGCCCGTCGGGCGGGCGGTGAGGACGTGGGACGTGAAGAAAGTGATGAACTCGGTTCTCGTAAAAGACGTAACCTGATCTTAACGTACTCGGAGGTGTAATTCCGATATAGAGAAAAGCGTGCCCCCCCCCCCGAGGTCGCCTGCCTTCCCTACCTAGTGGTTAGATCAGAAGCAAAAGATTTAACTGATTTTGATTGCCACCGTAGGACGTTTTAATTCCCAGTGCGTTGACGGAAGTTTAAAAGGAATGTCCTCATTGAGGAACATAATTCTTACTTTGAAAACTTAGAGACTAAGCTCCGGGTTAATCTACTTTTCGGATAGTTACCGTGTTGGGGTTCTTCTGGGCTCTACGAGGCTTACGTTAGTATGTTCTTCATGATAAGGCCCTGGGTTTGTCACAGATAATGTTTTAATACCACTGTTTCAAACACTGTGGGTTTTTTATTTATTATTTCTTAAAGATTTTATTTTTTTTATTTTTATTTTTTTTAAAGATTTTATTTATTTATTTGAGAGAGAGAATGAGAGAGAGCACTTGAGAGGGGGGAGGGTCAGAGGGAGAAGCAGACCCCCCGCCGAGCAGGGAGCCCGATGCGGGACTCGATCCCGGGACTCCAGGATCATGACCTGAGCCGAAGGCAGTCGCTTAACCAGCTGAGCCACCCAGGCGCCCTTAAAGATTTTATTTTTAAGTGATCTCTACACCCAGCGTGGGGCTGGAACTCAGAACCCTGAGACCAAGGGCACTGCTCTGTGGCCTGAGCCCGCAAGGCGCCCCCACCCTTTACATTGTTTCTGTTTTCCAGGATGCAGTCTGTCTTGTAAAACCTTGTTGTTTGGAAGAGGGGGTTCTGTTTTTTAGTAGCAAAACCACAAGACGCAATCATCAGTCACAGTCACTCCAGAAACATTGTTGTCAACCTAAGTCAGTCTCTGCTGACTTAAAGATGAACAAAATTTGGATTGTGATCTCGAGGAACTGGAGGGGAGGAGGTGCTTGTCCCGGAAAGCATAATTAAAGTAAAACGCACCAAAGCTTGTTAAGTGCCGTGGAAGAGGCTGGCAGGAGGCCCCCGGGGAACTTACCTGTAAATACCATCCTAAATGAATGGCCAGCTCTGCTGGGAAAAGAGCCTTCTCTGAGCGTGGACTTAAGAAGATGCATCATTAATTTCATTCTTGAGCTTGTCATAGTGCCGTGACTTCTAGTCCGTGGATTTTTCTTCCCTGCTCTTGTAAAAAGCTCCTTTGGGTGGTGCTTTTGCTGTACTCAGCAACACTTTTAGTTTAGAAGTTTATTCCAGTAACCTTTTTTATATTCCTGATGTAAGTAACCACATTTCAGCCTGTTAGAGCTGTCGTATAGTAAAAGGCATGGCTTTAATCTGGGAAACGAGATTACTCATAGTCTCATTTTAGGGGGACTTGTGGGGTTTTAAGTTCCAGGAGACAGTATCAACTCCTAAAAAACGAAGGTGATGATTCCTGCTAACTTTTTTTTTTTCAAGCTAGAAGTAAAACGTAGGTGTGTACCAATTAAAAAGATTTAGATAGTCCTACATTTGAAGTTATGGACGTTTGCTAAATCCAAGCAAAGGTTAGTTCTCTAATTTCTTCTCTGTGATATTGGGTCACACTTTTTTATTTTCTCTCTTTTATTTCAGTAGTTTAATAAGTGGATCACTAAAAGTTTATTACTAGGAAAGTTTGACTGATATACTAATCTCTAATTGAGCATTATGAAATGAAAGCCATCTCTGGAAGTACAGGAACAAAGATTGTTTTAATTATAGAGAATAGCTGGGTATTGTTCAGGTGGGGGTGTTGCCCATTCTGAGGTATTCTTAAAATAAGCTCTTCGTTTTCAGGTGACTTTCTGAAGATGTAAGTTATATATTCCACTTAAATTACGTAAAGTAAAACTTAATACGATGAGTTTGCAAATATATATAGTAATCGTTTTCCTCCCCTGATAAATTCAGACTTCCCTGTGTTTATTGCTACCTAATAATAAATCAGTGGCTAATTGATATTTGTGAACCATCAGATTTTGTTGAGGCTAACTGGATCAGCTGTCTGAACATGGGGCACTTGCTAAAAAATTGAATCTACAGGGTAACCCTCCCGCCTCTGCAAGTCTAACTTTGAATGGGGCCCATCCAGTAAGATTTCATAATTCATCACAGGTCTGAGCCACCTGACGTTGCTGTCACGATGGCTGGATTGCTAGTTTTGATATCATCTGGATCATCCCAGTATTTGAACACTAGTAAGGGAGGAGGCCTTTGCGGTATAGATAGAAGGTGGCCTTATGTAGGAACAGGCGGATGAATTCCCCAATAGCTTGTCTTTGGTGTATTGAAACCAGGAGACTGTTACTTCAGACCTGTGTTTGGAAATTTCCGGTTGGTCTGGCATCACGAATGAGAGAATATGGACTTCGTTAGATAATGATTGCATTTAACGAGCGCTATGTATGAAGCGCACACGCTGTCTCTGATTCTTGGAACAAAGCCACCTTGGCATTTTCCTCATTTTACAGATGGCTCCTGGGACCAGGAGAGGTGGGGTGACTTGCCCAAGCCCAGGTGGCTAGTAGCAGAGTCAGGATCTTAACCCTCACCGTGCTGTATTGGTGTCCTCAAGAGAGAATTTCATCATAGAACACTAGAGAACTGATACGTTTTTAAATTAAATTTAGTTTTAAACTAAATATTCAATTTAAGAGAAAACAATAGAGCAGAGCAAGTAGCTGAGAGTGGAGTGGATACGGATGAGGGGTCCTGGGATGGGGTTCGAGCACCTGTCATTGAAAGAGTAGCGTGTTCGTCAGGAGGCAAATTAAAGCGAAGTCTTCCTGAAATGCTGCCGGGAAAGGGAAAGGTACCTGCTACCCCAGAAACCCGTATGCCTGTGTTTGCCTGAAGCAAAGGAAAAGCAGTTTGGTAGCATGTATCGTGGTGTTGACGTATGTGCATGTGTCCGTCTTCCCAGCAAAGTAATCCGCTCTTATTTTCCCTTACAGAGTCAACTGTTCATTTTATTTCAAAATTGGAGCATGTCGTCATGGAGACAGATGCTCTCGGTTGCACAATAAACCGACCTTTAGCCAGGTTTGTTTGTTTTTCCTTTCTTTTTTCTGTTTTCATGTAAATTATCAAAACTTCATGTACTTTACAGAGGCAGTTAATAATTTCCATGTATTACGTAGGACATTTTTTTCTCTAGTGGGTCTATTCTCCATTTGTGTTCGTGAGTGTGTTCTTCTGTTTAAATGAGAATGAGGCAGGTGAGCCACTCCAGGGGGCGGTCTCTGAGACAGGTCCCTCCTCTCACCGTTTGGGAAGCTTTTTACAAAGACGTGCTCAGTGTTTGCGTGTTGGCTCTGCCTGGTCTCTGCCGCCTTGCCACCCCTTGTGCCCCTCCATAGACGGGTCCGGCGGGGGCGGCTGCTTCGGCACGAACTTAGCTGCTTTTGCAGGCACCAGTAGAAGCCGAGGCCGGCGGGCTTTGTGCTCTTTGCCCTCCAGGCAGCCGAGACCAACCGAGCCGCCCACAGGAGGTGCTCTTGCCATTCTCAGCAGGGCTAGCTTGCCACACGCTTAGGGCTTCTCCAGCAGTCCTGGGTGCGCCCCCTCTTTCAGAACCCCACGCGAGGGGAGAGCAATGACATCATGTCATAGAAACATGAAAAATGGCACTTAACTTTAGAAGATGGGCATTTTACCTTCAGTTATTTGTAGCCGGTCTATTTGGTCAGTTGAGAGATGCTGCCTGTTAGCTTGAGTTTAGGTCTGCTGTGAGTTCAGATCAATCAGAAACTGGTTTTGTTCGTTAATCGAAGAACAGGCAAGAGTTTGCACCCTACAAGTGATCACTGATGAGTTAAAGGGAGAAAGCACCTGTCATAGGGACAGAAAACTTCCGCCCATGTTTATCTGAATGTTTGGAATTTGAAAAACTATAGTCTTTCCAGACTGAGGACTTTTGAGCTCCTTTCAACTTACGGCGAAGTCTGAGTGAGCATCCCCTGAACCATTGGGTAACTATGGTGTGTAGCCCCTGGAAGCTGCCGGACTCTGCCTTTGAGCTCACATTGTTCTGTTCACATCTTTTAAACTTCTGACAGAACAGATATTTACGTTTTCCTGTGAGTATTTAGGAAAATGAGCCAATTGCTATAAGAGAGAGACATTTGTATTTTCTAATTTAAGCCCATAGAAAACCTTCAGTGTAATGTGTTTTTAGAAGGAGGGTGATGGCTTCCTTTCCCCCATTATTCTACTGATAACGGCGTGGTTGGTATAACAAGAATCTAAACCTACGAATATGTCTCTTTGAATTTCAGAATATCGGAGATCTTGCTTTAAACTTTGTTTATTGCAACTTTTTCTAAGTGCTTTGATTTATGAACTAAATCTCCCCAACTAAGCCGGTGGTCAGAGATTGGGCAGTAACCAAATGTCATTAGTGTCCACTGAGTTTTTTTATTTGGGGGGGTTACTTAGAGATGTGCCAAGTGTTGGGCTGAGAGGGAAATGATCCTGTCAGGAAAGTTTTCTTTAAGTTATCCAGAGACACTTGGTTTATTTTCTATCTGAATCACTAATTGCCTCAGAATGTTAATGTGAAGTTAATTTGAGTACTGTGGGTCAAAAAGAGATAGTGATTCCATTAATGTTTGGTGGGGTCCGTTGTATGTGTTTACCTGAGCATCTCGTTCTGATTGGCTTGGTTGGTTGGTTGGTTTCAGGCAATCCTGACCTCCCCCGATTGTAATAGAACTGCATTGCCCCATTTGAGTGAAGTTTCCTTCACTAAACAGCCACTGCCAGATGACCTGAGTGAGACCTAAAATGAATTTCTTGTTGAATAATTAGGCTCAGTATAGCTCTATATCAGAGTTGTTACACATGCTGGTGATTCCAGTTGAAAACGGAGTCAAGTCAACTTTGGGAAATAGCCGAGGCTTAGATAAGGTGACCCGGGACAGTACTTGATGGCCCGGGGAAGATGCCACACCCTGCAAGAAGGGTCTGCGTGTGTGTGCGTGCGTGTGTGTGTGTGCGTGCGTGGTCTGGCTGTTGGATGTTCCTCCCCTGGGGTTTCCCCACAGCAGACCTTTGGGGAGTACCCACACAACTTCTTTCTGGAAGTGTAGCTAGAAATAGAATGACTGCTTTTGTAAAACCACTCACCAAACTGCTTTGGACCTATGTTGTTGAGACTGAACATTTATTTTTCTAAATCATGCAGTTTATTCATTCAGCTTGTAAAGTTCAGTGTGGGTTTCTTTTTAAGCTTCTTGCAGTGATGTGGACATTAAGATTCATGTAATATATTAGCCTACTAACTTAAACATGGTTTGTTTTTTCAGACAACTTGATTTTAAGAAGAACGGTACAATGTAAGGTTTCAAGTCTGCCTGATCCAGTTTAAAGGACAAGGGCTAAAAGGATTTTTTTCCCTTAAAAGAAGGATCGGAAAAGAACAGATGTTTAAGCTATTGTATTATGTAAACAGAGGTCCCCCCAAGCAAACAGGAATGTGTATAGATACGTGTCCGTGACAGTCAGGACACCCATTTGGTGCGCCTGTTTCCTGTGAGACCAGACAGCTTGATGGACTGCATACAGTTGACTGACACATTTGGTTTTAAAAAATATAATTTTGTGTGGGGAATATGATTATCATGTGAATTTTTCGACATCTTAGCATCTGCTAGCTTGAAGTATAAGAAAACGTTAGTGTGATTTATTTTTCACTAAAACACTTGAATGACGTGGGACCACTGAGAATAACGGCTACAGTTTCTTCTTGGTTGCTGGCTGACTTGACCGAAGTCACTGCTCACACTCTGTTTTCATAATATGATGGTTTGGGTGTGCTCTTCAGAGGACAAGTGTCTGACTTGTGGGAAACAAACAAGCAAGCGTTGAGCCATTTGCAAACAAGTTGTCTCTTTGCAATTGTCTAATACATGCACAGCAGCCAGTAGAATTCCCCTTTTTATTTTTTTTTCCCCGCAGACCATCTTGATTCAAAACATCTATCGTAATCCCCAAAACAGTGCACAGACGGCTGACGGCTCACACTGTAAGTCCCACAGTTGGAGAAATTTTTTTAAAACAATGGTGTTAAAGAGCCCACTCTTAATTGAGACAAATAATGTTGGCTTCTGAGCTGCTGACATAGAGCTGTTGCAAACAGGACAAGGTGCTGGGAAGCCTTGGTACCTACAGCAAGAACCTGGTACTTGGCCACGTTCAGGAGGCTGTCGTCGGCAAGGGCGCTGGGGAGGCCTCTTCCCTGGGTTGACGTTTGTTGACGAGAGGGAGGGGGTCTGTCCAGGTGACACCTGACAGCTGCCAGCCAATCACTGGTCTTTCCGGTGCCTGAACCCCTGGCCTTTATTAAGTTCTTTCTGTAAAGTTACAACTCTTAGGAATATTTAGGAATCAATAAGGTAAGTTGCCCAATAAGTGTGGGTTTTATTTCACCATTACAGTTTTTCCTCTAGGAAGTGGAGATTTCATGATATGTAATTATTGTATTTCTCTGCTCCTGTGGTTTTTGTCGTCAGTTGATGCGGGCACTTTCTCAGCTCATGACGCGTTCTGTAATACGGAAGACCATTTTGGTAGTAACCTGCCAAGTTGCTTGCATTCTGACCTGGATTGGAACTTGGCAGTGGGAAATCTTTGCGTCCCGTGAACAGAAATACAATATCAGCATATCATGGGATCTCTGTGACGTTGCAGTGTTAGGGCACTCCAAGACAGCGACCAGCTAAGAGAAAACATCTCTGCTTCGGAGGAAAATAACTTGCTCTTTTTTCAGCACTGAGTCTTGACTGACGTGATCGCCACAGGAAACCGGTTAAGTGTTTAAATTTAATTTTCCATAATATAAAGTTGTTGCGTTTTGTATTTCAGACCATTGCCCTCTTGAACATTTACCGTAACCCTCAAAACTCTTCCCAGTCTGCTGACGGTTTGCGCTGTAAGTTCATACAAGTTCCTTCCCTGGTTCCCTGGGCTTGCGTGTCAGAGCTCAGTGTCCGCTCCACCTGGTCTGCCGCTGTAGGGTCAAGGACGGCCTTTCACTAGACGTGCCCAGAGCTTTTGTCCCACTGACCCCATGGAAGCCTCTGAGGTTGGAACTCCTGCCCACTTAAGAAGTGAAAAATGGCCGGAAAGGATACCCTCCCTGTACCGTAGTTTGGAGCTGCTGCTCTTCCTTTACCTTGACCGTCATCCTAGGGGAGAGTATACTTGGAATTAAATGTGCAGTTACATCCTTCCCCTCTTAAGAGCAACAGTATTTGAAAGTTTCTCTCACGTTAAGAAACGAATTGTTCTGAAGTTATTTTTGAGATTTTATTTTTTTATTAGGCTTTTTCTTAAGCTCCATTCTGGAGCTTAGGCTTTAATTGTGAGAGCATTGTTCCGAGGGCGTTTCCCAAATGAGGGTGCTCCGAGTTGCATGGACTCCCCGGAGTTTTCCTCAACGCCAGCCCTATGCCGACTCAGTCCTTGATCAGAGTCCTTTGTGCAGCTGTCTGCAGCTGCAGGAGCTAGCTTACTACGTGTGGGGAAGAGAAGGTGTGTTTGGCAGGGAAACGGGGCTAAACTGGGCATTTAGTAGATATGGCCCGTTTCTTCCTGTTTGGGGAAGTAATTTAAGTTACAAACGTTGTGTTTCCTGAGGGGTAGTTTTTCGAGAACAGGATCCATGTTAGTGTCACTGGAAATTTCAGAAAGCTAAAATTTCAATTTTATGGCTCTGGAGCCATGGAATCCGTTTCTTCATCTGGATAAATTGCAGCGAACATCCTGGACTCCTGTTAAAATCAAGGGGTCCAAACCGAACCGCTTCATTCACCAGTTTGTTTTGAAGCTGCAAAAATTCGTAGAAGGTGCTGTCCACAGATGCCCCCGGACAGCCACAGATCGAAGTCCAACACACCCTTGGCCCACAGCCCCTCAGCTTACAGGGCGATCTACACTGAGTGGAATGGTCCCAGCATTCCACTTGCCCACTTGGGCTGGCCCCAGACAGGGGGTGCCTCCCAGTTGTGCACGTGTGAGTGCACGGGTCTGTGGGGGAGGGGCTTGTAAGGTTTTCCTGCCGAGACACTGTGTTTCTCCACGCTGATCCTGACCGGGTAGCGGATCATTTGTGTCCCTGAGTCTGATGGTAACAGGATTTACTTGGTAGCCCTGGTTTTAAAATACTTGGTTTTGCTTTGTTTTCTTAAAGAAACAAGATCAATAGGTGGAGGGAAATGCTTATATATGGACTTATTAAATAATTTTTGTAACAACCCTGCCCTGGGGTAAAACGAATGAGAGGTTGATGATTGAGTAACAACAATTAATCATTCTTTGCCCTGATCGTTTACCTGGGGACTGCGGATGCTTCGTTGACAAAACAATGTTGGATTAGTTTTCTTCGTGTCTTTACCTGCGATTCACAGTGCTCTTGTTGTGCGTATGCTACAGAATAAAAGTTTAGCTGTACCAAATATTCTGATTATGGGGTCCAGATTCGACACATTAAATGAAATTCCGATTTTTCAATTTAGGAAGAAACCCATTTAAGCTGATGAACCTGCAACAGACGCTTCGAGTAAATTTCAACCAGTCGGGTTCATCAGTTCCCCTAAATTTACAACTTTTTAACATACCCTTTCATCTATAGAATTATGAATCCCAGTTTAAGAATGTTTCTGTGAGAAAACTGGGTATTTTCAGGTGGTGGTCTGTAAAATCTATTGAGTCATGTAGATGACTTTGCAGTTACCGGTTTCTTAATCCCTCATCTCTGTTCTGCCCGAGTCATTTGGTTGACTGAAAATTTTTAAGCGGAGTATAGAAGGTAAAATAGGCCCACTATGGAGCATTTTCATATCTCACTTTACAGAAGTTTACTAAGATACCATACTGCTCTCCAGTGAGAGAATAGAATTATCATGAGTGCAACAGTATTTGAACCACCACCAGAGCCTGATTCTCAACACTACTAGCACTTTGAGCGTGCAGATATCTTTTGTCTTCGTTTTTTTCTGATGTGAGAAGGGAATGTAAACATTAAAATCTGCCTTTTGGAATAGGCTTCTCTTCTCCCGACTAGCTGTTCTGTTGTTTAGAGCCTGATTTCTACCCAGGGAAGGAGGTTTTGTTCACGACAGCTTTTAAATTGGACTGGGCCGTCAGGAGTAGTTGTTGCCTAATGCATTCAAGAGGTTTCGGGTTCTAAAGCAAGCTGGATTCCTGGAAATTCAAAAACAACTAAAATGCAGGAATCGGGGCGCCTGGGTGGCTCAGTCGTTAGGCGTCTGCCTTCGGCTCAGGTCATGATCCCAGGGCCCTGCGATCGAGCCCCACATAGGGCTCCCTGCTCAGTAGGAAGCCTGCTTCTCCCTCTCCCACTCCCCCTGCTTGTGCTCCCTCTCTCACTGTGTCTCTCTCTCTGAAATAAAATCTTAAAAAAAATTAAAATAAAATGCAGGAATCCCCCCTTCCCCCTCCCATGCATTAGAAAGTAAATTTAAACCCTTCTCAGAATCCAAAGATTAAAGTTCCTGTCCATGAAGAGAAGGTTTTCCAGAGAGCGAGGAAACTGCTCCGGGGCGGCCCAGTGGGTAGACCCGAGTGCCTCGGCTCCAGCACCCTCAGTGGGGTGCGCCAGGTGAGGCCAGGAGTGCGGTCATGGAAGGGGGCACCTGAGCATGAAGCTGGCCCGGCCTTAAAGCCACTCGGCCTTGTAGGCTCCTGGATCCAGCTGTGTGGAACACTGGCTTCTTGACTCGCCAGCTTTGTGATTTCTCAGATGTAGGTTAAGAGAACTCTAGAATTTGAAAGGTGACATTTAGTAGAGAGAATGATAATGAGGAGAGAATGTGAACTTGAAAAAGTCTATCCACACAGTGGATGTGATTTCACTTAGTGCATGTGAATTACGAAGAATAAACTTGATGGAAATAGTTCCGGAATATAAAATAAGAATGCTTTCTTCAGCAAAGCATTGTAACTTTCCCTTTATTCAGGGGCATTCGAAGTACTGTAATTGAACTTGGTAATTATCGTACTGAGTCTTCATTTATGGTCATTTGGGTTTTAATCGCATCAGAAAGAATTTTATAATAGCATTGTGTGGCTGCTAATCTGTAAAAGAAATTAGTCAGGAACATTAGCTCTTAATCACTTACCCTGATTTCAACTTCTTTTATTTTAGCGTAATAAAGAGGAAAAAAAATCAGTGTGATTCTTTGGCCTCTATTTTAAATCGTGAAAGGAAGAAAATTTTCATTTAAAAAATTTCTTGAGGGTAATTTTTTTCCTTACACTTTCTGAAAACATGGCCCTTTGATGCTGATTAAAACTTGTTGTGATTTTAATAGCCAGAATTGAGACTGTCATAAGGGGCATTTAAAAACCCCACCACACTTTAAAATTTTAACAATTGGCTGTCCCGCAGTATCTTCAGTGCTCCAGTAGAATGCAGCTCTGTTGTGTTTCCTCTCTAGATAATCTAATGTGTGTTACTGTAGCAGTTTGAGTTAAACGCAGCGTTCTCTTGGTTAAGGTTCCCTCTCTAACCAGCAAGATTTCTGTTGTTTACAGGCGCTGTGAGTGACGTCGAGATGCAGGAACACTATGACGAATTTTTTGAGGTGAGATACTGTTGGAAAGTGATAGACCTCTTTGCCTTTTCTGTTTGGAAGGCATTAAATTTTTTTCCTCATTAATAGATACCCTTAAATAGGAGTTATATTCAGTTACTCCTATATCTTTAATGTATCGTGAGCCTTAAACCCTTGTCCTCCCCGCAGGAGGTTTTTACAGAAATGGAGGAGAAGTACGGTGAAGTTGAGGAGATGAATGTCTGCGATAACCTTGGAGACCACCTAGTCGGGAACGTGTACGTCAAGGTGAGGAGAGTGTGACAGGTGGGGGGTTGTGTCTCCTGACTGATGCGGCTGCCGAGTGAAGACCCCGGGCCTCCGGATTTTAGCTGTGAACTTGGAAGTTCTGAGCGCTCACTACTAGCCGTGGATTTTCATGTGCTCAGGCGTTTGCTGGCTGGAGCCCGGATGTGGCAGCGGCCTGGGGGTGCGGGAGGGAGGGACACCACGGTCACCGGCTGCTCCTCCCTGTCGGGATCTCCGCAGCTGTTGCTGATGGGCTGTCTAGACACAGGAGAAGTTGGTTTATTTATTTATTTTTTAAAGATTTTATTTATTTGAGAGCGAGAGAATGAGAGAGAGAAAGCACATGAGAGGGGGGAGGGTCAGAGGGAGAAGCAGACTCCCCGCCGAGCAGGGAGCCCGATGCGGGACTCGATCCCGGGACTCCAGGATCATGACCTGAGCCGAAGGCAGTCGCTTAACCGACTGAGCCACCCAGGCGCCCCAGGAGAAGTTGGTTTATATGTGTGGTTTCTCCTTCCCATTTTTTTAAACCTCTGTGGCCTACACAAATCATCGCATTTGCTCTTTTAACCGTATGAATTTGAAAGTCAAGGTCATGTGTATCTGGTATGATTTGGGGCCATCACAAAATTAAGTGACCTGATGGCAAATAAAGGATGGTCTGTTTTTTAATGTGCCGTGCAACATCACTCGGCTTTATTTTACCCCGTGAATACGTAACTTGTATTTGGACCGGTAACGGGAGGTCCTTCTGGGGAGAGCGCGGGCCGCAGGCATCTCCGCTTCACCTTTGCAGTTCCGCCGTGAGGAAGACGCGGAAAAGGCCGTGATCGACCTGAACAACCGCTGGTTTAACGGGCAGCCCATCCACGCGGAGCTCTCCCCGGTGACCGACTTCCGAGAGGCGTGCTGCCGCCAGTACGAGATGGGGTAGGTGCCGGGGGGGGGGGGGCGCGGGGGGCCGGGCGGGGGGCGGCGCGCCACATGTGGGCTCTGCTTCCCCGCAGGGAGTGCACACGAGGCGGCTTCTGCAACTTCATGCACCTGAAGCCCATTTCCAGAGAGCTGCGGCGGGAGCTGTACGGACGTCGGCGCAAGAAGTGAGTCCTTCCGCGGCCTCGCTGCCGTGCCCCTGCTCGAGGAGAGCGTGGCCTCGCTGTGAGGGTCACTGTTGGGGGTGCAGGGCGTATTTTGGGGCACGAAGCATACTTTTCAAAGACTACCCCACGCACACGTCCTGCGAGCCCTCAGTACCTGGGTGAGGGGACGGGGGCGGGAAGAGTGGGCTCGTGCGTGCGGGCCGTACTCCCTCAGACGGCGGGACTTCGCGTGCGGAGGGTTTCCTCTGGGGGTCCTGCTTTGGGGGGAGGGACCACGCGCAGAATCGGGCAGAGTCTGTGTGTCTGGGCCTGGTGTCGAGGGGCAGCCTGTGGGACCACGGAACAGAGGCCGAGCCTGGATGTCAGGAGAGGCCCCTTGCCCGCCTGGCTTGCGTTCTGACCCCGGGGGTTCTCACCCCTCTCCCCTCAGACGGGGACCAGGAGCTGCACACGTTGTTTGGTGATTGTTCCGTTGTCAACGAAGCTCGGGAGGGCAGGGGTGGGGGGGTGCGTCTGGGGCGCTGTGGTGGTTCCACAGTCCCCGATCCTGGGAGCTGGCGCCCTGGAAGCGCAGGCCTGGGGGGTGACCTGCCCCGCGATCCTGCCAAGCCCCTCTTTTTCCCTGACAAGAGCGCGTCCGTGGTGTGGGCGCGCAGTCCCCTGGGAGCGATTTCCCTGTATCCGTGCCGTCCCCCCGTCGGGGTACAGCGTTCAGAAGTGGGGGTCGTGGCGGGGCTTCGTGGCGGGCTCTGCTGTGGATGCCACAGCTTTGTTTCTTTTTCTTGGTTGCAGGCATAGATCGAGGTCCCGGTCCCGGGAGCGTCGCTCTCGGTCTAGAGACCGTGGCCGTGGCGGCGGCGGCGGCGGTGGCGGCGGCGGCGGCGGGGGACGGGAGCGCGACAGGAGGCGGTCGAGAGACCGAGAGAGATCTGGGCGATTCTGAGCCGTGCCGTTTTTACCGTATGTCTGCTAGACAGTGTTGTAGTTGATTGACCAAACCAGTTCATAACGGGAATTTTTTTTAAAAAACAACAAAAAAAAACAAAGATGGGTTTCTGAATAAAATTTGTAGTGATACAGTACTTTCGGTGCAGCTTATTTCTCGCGGAAGGAAGGTCCCTAACTCTCTCCCTTGCAGCTGTGCTCCTCATCCATCCCGAGGCGAGGATTAATACCCATCCGTGACTTGGGTGTAAACGAAGCTGTGGTTTCAAACTTAGGGTGTGAGGTCCAACCCCCGCACCCGCCATCCCCTAAGGGAAAATTCACCCAGGGGACGGTCAGGCTTATTACCAGTTCCCTACGTGCTAACTAGCAGTGCGGCATTTCCCCTCCGAGGCTCCTAGGGAGCATGGCACGGGGGGCCGGGGGGCTGTTGGGTCGGATGCCGCCTGCGGCCCACCCCTCTTACCCGCGAGCTTCCTTGTCTGCTCGCAGAGCCGCCGTGAAGCAGGAGTGCTGCCCAAAACCTGGCTGTGCCCAGAGCTGCAGGAGAGCCCCTGGTCCCATTTCTGTGTCGTCATTGCCGCTGGCTCGGCCCTGGACAGCTGCAGGGACGTCACACGGACTCCCTGCGGCGCAGGGCGGCGGCCCGTGTGCCGTGGGGTGCCGCTGACGGCTTCCCGCCTGCTCCAGGCCCGCGCACGCCCCGGCTGGGGGCGCCTTGTCCCCAGCAGAGACCACATCGCCTGGCACACCGCGGCGTGGCTCTCGGGGACGGCCCTGCGCCTTGGTGTGGGAGGAGGCACCCCCTGGCCCTGGACCACGCAGGGTATATGTGGGAGGAGATCCTACTTGACCAGGGTTGGGGTTTTTTTGGTTTTTTGTTTTTTCACGAACATCTGTTTTTACGTAATGAAAATCTTTTTTTTTTTTTTAAGATTTTTATTTATTTATTTGACAGAGAGACACAGCGAGAGCAGGAACACAAGCAGGGGGAGTGGGAGAGGGAGAAGCAGGCTTCCTGCGGAGCAGGGAGCCCGATGCGGGGCTCGATCCCAGGACCCTGGGATCAGGACCTGAGTCGAAGGCAGACGCTTAACAACTGAGCCACCCAGGCGCCCCTGTGTAATGAAGTTTTTAAAAAGTAATTCTAGGGCGCCTGGGTGGCTCAGTCGTTAAGCGTCTGCCTTTGGCTCAGGTCCTGGGATCGAGTCTCACATAGGGCTCCCTGCTCAGCAGAGAGCCTGCTTCTCCCTCTCCCTCTGCCTGCCACTTCCTGTTTGCTAGCGTGCGCGCGCTCTCAAAAATCTTAAAAAATAATAAAATAACTTTTTTACTTTTTTTTTTTAAAGATTTTATTTATTTGACAGAGACAGTGAGAGAGAGAACACAAGCAGGGGGAGTGGGAGAGGGAGAAGCAGGCTTCCCGCTGAGCAGGGAGCCCGATGCGGGGCTCGATCCCAGGACCCTGGGACCACGACCTGAGCCGAAGGCAGACGCTTAACCGACTGAGCCACCCAGGCGCCCCAATAAAATAATTTTTAAAAAGTGATTCTAATAATGGAACATGAGTTGTGTTGGTCTCGAAACAGAGTTCATATGATTGGTGACAGGCAGATGCTGGGGCATGAATTGGTGGCAGTGCTGAGTTGGTGAGCTAGGAAGTCTTATCTCCATCCTCCCAAGCGTCAGTACCAATACTTCAGTTTTTCTCCCCAAGTTTGGTCAAAGTTGAGATTGTTGGGTAATTTCCACCATATCTGAAGGGAGGGAATGTGGCAAACATTTTATTTTGTATTTCTTAAGATTAGAATCCCCTTTTCCTGTGAAAGTTCCTATTAAAGTGTACACGAAAGTCCCACCAAAAGTGCCTTTTTCTTTTTAAGATTTATTTAGAGCGAGCAGGGAGGAGGGGCAGAGGGAGAGAGAGGATCTCAAGCAGACTTCTGCCCAGCACGGCGCCAGACGCAGGGCTCGATCTCATGACCCTGAGATCACGACCTGAGCCGAAACCCACAGTCGGTCGCTTAACCGACAGCACCACCCAGGCGCCTCCAAAAGTGCCTTTAAACATCACCACTGACATTGATGGAAGAAAGACAAGCTTACAGAGTAAACCAGGAACCCCGCACCACCCCTCCCTCCGCACCCACGACGGGCCTGGGGTAGGAGGACAGAGGGTCCGGCCGCCGGCTCGGGCGCGCGGTGGGTGGGGAGCCGCCCAGCACAGAGGCACGGGCGGTCTACGGTGTGGCGGGCCGGCCTCCCACACCCCAGGCCCATGGAGATCTCCACGCAAAGGGAAAGAGCCACCCGAAATCTTTGCGATTTGTAATGAGCTCAGGCCCAGGGAATATCACTAAAAGGTTTCTTGTCCTGAATATCATATGCTGAAGTCTTCAGACCGAAACCAAATGGAGAGTGAGGACAGCCTGTGAGCTCCGCTCTTACGCCAGTTGACTGAGGCCTGTGCTTGGCTTGCTCTTGGGACACAGGGGGCCTAACACAGAAGCTGACAGTGTGCATGGGTATATAGTGGATAAAATCATTGTAACTGTCACACGGTGGCGGACAGGGTCACCTCTGCCTGCAAATCGGTGAAAATGCACTTCTTTCGAATGAGCTCCTCTTGGAGAAAGGTGGGTGATGTGATTGCAGCATCTAAACTGAGCGGTTAATTAACACTTTCTCACCATTCAGGATTCCTTGTTTCCCGAAGGGATAGAACTGCAGGTGAGTTCTAAAAAATAAAGCCTTGGCTCACAGCACAAACAGAATGGCATCCCACGTTCACTTCCGGAGCCTTTGTGATGGACGGTCAGGCTGTCACACGGGGCGTGCAGGGGTGACCCTGGTGGGGTGTCACGTGGGGCATCACTTTAGCTCGGCGCTTCCCAGCCGCAGGGGTCTTCCCAAAGAAACAAGATCAACATGAGAGTCTCAACTTCTGATTTGCTAGGTGGGACTGTTTAAATTGCTCCTGTCAAATTTCACTCTTGTTTCATGAAAGAACACTTTTTATGTATTTATTTTGAAGATTTTATTTATTTGACAGAGAGCACAAGCAGGGGGAGTGGCAGGCAGAGGGAGAAGCAGGCTTCCTGCTGAGCAGGGAGCCGAACACAGGACTCGATCCCAGGACCTGGGATCATGACCTGAGCCGAAGACAGACACTTAACCGACTGAGCGACCGGGGCAGCCAGCCCAGAAAGAGCTTTTTAAGTGTTCATTATGGACATTTGTAAACCTGCGGAGACGTCGAGACTGTCAGGAGGCCCCAGATGCTTTAAGTTTGTGCTCCTAACCTGCAGACTTTGCCACGACAGTCGCAGGAAAGCCAGCCCTCGGAGAGGCTCCGCCCTGCACAACTCCCGCCTTCTGTCTCGGATTTTCCTGTGTCCGGGGCTTGGCAGCCAGGGGCTCTGCCAGCACCATCCGTGTGGGTGTGTCAAAGTGAGCAAACGGGAATAAACGCCTCGTCGGCACTTAGGACGTTCAGCTGGCATTTCGGGGCGAGACAAGGGCTCGACCCTTGAGAAGTGGATGCTCGGACGGAAGAGGCGGGTCAGGGGACTTGCTCCGAGAAGTGTTCGGGGCAGACGAGTCCGTCCAGGGCCGTGTGGCTGAGACCCTAAAGGCTGAAGGCGGGGAGACAGACGGGGTCACCGAGGTCCAGTCCCAGTCCTTACCAGGCACGAGGATTCGGAGGAGCCTGAACACGGCCACAAGGAAGGGACTTCATTGGATCGGGCTCCGTCCCAGCTGATCCACACAACCTTTTGAGACTCGAGGAAACCGCGTTGGTTGCTGACCACACTGTCCCAGGCAGGCAGCCGGACAATGCAGCCAGGGCGTGTGGGCAACAAGAGGAAAGGCAGGGCGCCTGGGTGGCTCAGTCGTTAGGCGTCTGCCTTCGGCTCAGGTCATGATCCCAGAGTCCTGGGATCGAGTCCCACATCAGGCTCCCTGCTCGGCGGGAAGCCTGCTTCTCCCTCTCCCCCTGCTTGTGTTCCTGCTCTCGCTCTCTCTCTCTCTGTCAAATAAATAAATAAAAATCTTAAAAAAAAAAAAAAAAAACAAGAGGAAAGGCAGATCGCTGGAGGAGCAGACCGCCCGCCCGCCTCTCTTGGTCTGCCTGGCCGCCACCCCCCGTGGGGTTGCATCCCTCGGGCGGAGAGCAAGGCGGCCGCGACCCAGGAAGGACACCTCTTCCCCCGAAACGCCCAGTGTTTCATGCCCCATTGACCCAATTCAGTGCAACTTAATTTTCATGAGAAAATGAACAGCTTCCAGGCTCTTTCTACGAAATGAGTATGAAAACTGATAAAACCTCACAAAAATGGGAGAGACACGCCAACTGCAAGGGAGTTTCGGTTCTGAATATGGATATGAACCCCTGAAATAAACTACCGGCGGACAGCGTCTAGCAGCCCTTTAAAATAAATACGCCGCCGGGGCTGGCTGCCCAGTGGGTAGATCCTGCGACTGTGATCCCCAGGCCGTGGTGTCTGGGGGGAGCTGCGTGATGCATTCAGCGACGTACCGCGGACAAGTAGGAAGAGCTGAAGGAGCAGCAGGGCCACCAGCCCCGGCCAGGCCCTGCCCACCACAGAGCTCTCCTCGGGACCGCTCCGCGCCTGCGGTCGCCGTGTTCTTGCGATCCCCGTAAGCGTCATGAAGCGTTACAGTTTTACCAGCTTTCGAGTTTTCTAGAAGCGGCATCTTTATGTATCACTGGGCTTGCCCCTGCTAGGCTTCTTCGCGACATCCTGTATGTTTGCACACAGCTGCCTTTAAATTTGCAGCTTGAGGTCCGCCCACGGCGAGGAGCAGAGCCGTGCCGCCCACCTTACCAGCTGGAAGAACAGGAGGGCGCCTCCGGGCAGAGGGAACAGCGGTGGCCAACTCCCCGAGGCGAGGCGTGCACCAGGATCCCTGTGGGGGAAATGCACCCGACGCCCTGGCTCCCTTCCCAGTCCCCCACATGTGCACCGAGGGCCACTGCGCTTCCTTCGCTGGGGACCGACGGGCAGCAGGCAGCCCCCACTGGGATGGAGCGGTGCCCGCCTGCAGGCCCGGAGACCAAGGGGCCCCCTGCTGGCTCCGGGGCCCCGCTCAGAACTTCCTTCCGCACGCAGCTGCTCGGGACTGGGCTGGGGGTGGGGGCGCCGACGGGGGTCCTGGGGCACGAGCAGCATCTCGCACAGTGCGACCAAGGACAGCATGCCCGAAGGGAGTGGGGGACCTCTCCCAGGGCCGCGAGGGCTGGGGAAGGGCCCGGACGCTTTGTGTTGAGGTCGCGTCTCACTGCCACGTGGACAATAGACTGAGGCCGGAGGCGGGCAGCCGGCGCAGAAGCGGTGGCTGAGCGGCGGCGGGGGCGGCTCAGGTCGGGGGGCAGGGGGCAAGGCCGTGGAGTCCGGGGTAGGCCCCTGGGGGTTCAGTCCGCCTCCCCTGTGCATTCTCAGGCCGCTCACGCCTCCGTGGGAGGCACCTGTTGCTGTCTTTGCCCTTTGCTAACACATGGAGTACTCTGTCTTCTTCTGGTGTTTCTGGGAGTTGCTCACACATTGTCTGCGGACACATCCTCTGTCCACGTGCACTGCAGACGCTGGTCCTGGTCTGTGGCTCGCCTTTTCCCTCGCTCAGGGGTGTCTTTGGACGAACACGTGTCTTCTAACTCAGTTGGGTCCAACGTATCTGCCTTTTGTCTGCGGACAGGGTTTTCTGGCTCCTGTTTGAGAGATCTTTGCCCCCCACGTTCCCGCTGCTGCGTCTCACCTTTTTCCCGTTGGGTCTGTGGCTCCTAGCCAGTCACTTCGTGCGTGTGGTGAGAGATTCATTACGGCTCTGTGTGAACTTCCGGTTGCCCCAGCACTGTGCGTCGTAAAAACAACCACCTTCCCTGCTGAGGCGAGGGGTGCCTTTGCACACACGTGTGGATGGGTCCGTTTCTGGATTCTCTTCTGTCCGTGGTCTGTTTTGTGTCCTCGAGCCCAGCATGTATTTGGAATGAACGAGAGCCCATAGGCTTTGCCTCCAAGGGCGTTCGCCTTAGCAGATTTGGAGGGGAGGTGGGGCTCCATCAGCTCGATCCGATAAAGCCGCCTGGAGAGCCTGAATTTGGGTCTTACGGCCCAAAGAACAAAACACCACCTGCATCCATGGTGTGACCCGGGGACAGCTCACCTGAAGGACAGCCGGGGTCTGCAGAGCACGCACAGGAGTCCTGGATCAGTGTTGTGTCATGGGGGACGACAGACAAGTCAGGGTCAGCCTGGTCGCCCACTGATCAGACATCACCACTCTGCTCCTGGGACAGGGAGGGACGGTGAGCCCCGGGGCAGGAGTGTCCCCGTGGAAACGTAACACCGTCATCCCCACCCTCAGTGCCCCGCTCAGCCCGCTGGGGAGAGGCCGGCAGCCTGGAGTGGGCTGGGGAGGGGGCCCACCCCCGTCCAGGCTGCCCTCCCCCAGCCGCTGTCCGTCAGGGCTCCTCCTGGCTCCACAGACGGAGGCCTCGGCCCCGACAAGGTGTTGAAGACGGGAGACCACGCAGCTCACCCGTGGGGTTGCATCCCTCGGGCGGAGAGCAAGGCGCGACCCAGGAAGGACACCTCTTCCCCCGAAACGCCCAGTGTCTCATGCCCCATTGACCCAATTCAGTGCAACTTAATTTTCATAAGAAAATGAACAGCTTCCAGGCTCTTTCTATGAAATGAGTATGAAAACTGATAAAACCTCACAAAAATGGGAGAGACACGCCAACTGCAAGGGAGTTTCGGTTCTGAATATGGATATGAACCCCTGAAATAAACTACCGGCGGACATCTGCTCACCACTAGCCGTAGACATTGGGCAGGTCACTCCACCGCTCCATGCCTCATCTTCTCCTCTGTCAGGTGACGGTGAAGCAGTGTGTTTCTCCTCCAGTTGTGATGAGGATCCCATTTGTGGATTTAGGTAAAGTTCCTGAACAGTGCCTGGCATGTACGTAGTGGGTGCTCAGTAATGGTTAGTTATTAGGAGCAAGACCATCAGCAACAGAAGGTAGAAGGTGGGTGAAGGCCCAGAAGCGCAAGGAGAGGGATCACTAGGAACCCCACGAGGCCTGTTTTACAAAGTGTAGCACTCACAAGTAGTGTAAAAAGTTGTGAGTATAAAACTCACACGCTGAAACGTGACAAAACATTGTTGAAAGAAGTAAGGGAGACCTAAAGAAATAGCCATCCCATGTTCATGGACCAGAAGACTTACTCCCCACATCCAGAGGACTACCATATTTGGGAATACCTTTAATCAAGGAAGTGCAAGACTTGTACACTGAAAATTCAAAACATTGCTGAAAGAAATTAAAGAAGACCCAAATAAACGGAAAGCCAGCCTGTGTCCCCAGTTGGAATATTTCCCATTGTTAAGACGGCAGTACTCCCTAACGGCAGTCTGCAGATCCGACGTAATCCCTACCACAATCCTAACGGCCTTTCTGCAGAAATAGAAAAGCTGATCCTAAAATTCATGCAGAATTTTAAAGGGCGGTAAATAGCCAAGAAAATCTCAAAGAACAAAGTGGGAAGACTTGTAGTTCCTGATTTCCAAACTTACTACAAGTCAGAGTCATAGAAATGGTGTGGGCCTGGCATTACGGCAGACACAGAGACCAGCGGGCAAAACTGAGGGTCCAGAAAGAACCTTACTCCTCTGGTCAGCTGATTCTGACAAGGGCACCAAGACCAGTCGACGGGGAAAGAACAGTCTCTTCAACAAGTGGTGTTGGGACTGCTGCTTATCTATGTGCAAAGGAAGGAAGTTGAATTCTTACCTCACACCATAAATTTAATTCAAAATGGGTCAGAAATCTGAACATAAGAATTAAAATCATGAGGGGCGCCTGGGTGGCTCAGTCAGGTAAGCATCTGCCTTCGGCTCAGGTCATGATCCTGGGGTCCTGGGATTGAGTCCCGCATCGGGCTCCCTGCTCGGCGGGAAGCCTGCTTCTCCCTCTCCCGCTCCCCCTGCTGGTGTTCCCTCTCTCTCTCTCTCTGACAAATAAATAAATAAAATATTTTAAAAAATAAACAATAAATATTTTTAAAAATTAACATTATGAAACTCTTTGAAGACAACCTGGGGAAGATCTGAATGACTTGGGTTTGGCACTGGTTTCTTAGATATGATGTGAAAGCACAAACAACCAAAGGAAAAATATGTATAAATTAGGGCTTATCAAAAGTAATGAATCGATCCACTTTTGTGCATCAAAACACACCATCGAGAAAGTGAAAAGACACCCCACAGAATGGGAGAAAATATTTGCAAACCCTGACCCCTGACAAGGGTCCAGTACAGAATATGTAAAAGAACTGCTAACAACTCAACAACAGAAGACAAGCCAATTTAAAAGTGGGCAAAAGGGACACCTGGGTGGCTAGTTGGCTAAGCATCTGCCTTCAGCTCAGGTCATGATCCCAGGGTCCTGGGATCGAGTCCCGCATGGGGCTCCCTGCTCGGCAGGGAGCCTGCTTCTCCCCCTCCCAGTCCCCCTGCTTGTGTTCCCTCTCTCGCTGTGTCTTTCTCTGTCAAATAAATAAATAAAATCTTAAATAAAAAAATAAAACGTACAAATAAGTTATGGGGACAATAAATAGCATTTGTTTTTATTACTTAAAATAGATATTGTCAAAAAACAAAATAGATATCATCTGAGGTTCATGAATCAAGGAAGAGAAATACAGAATATTTATCCAAATTATGGAGATGAATACCATAAGAATAAAAAAACAATTGGCCGAAGAGATTGTCTCTGAGACCTGGGACTGGGGGTGGGCAGAGGTGAGAGGCTTCTCCGTCACCTGCGGGGCGGTCTCTCCCGCAGTCCTGTATCTAGAAGACCACCCCCCCCAATCTCCTTCCCCAGAATGGCTCACACCTTCTTCGGCGCCCCATCACCCGCCCCCTCCATGAGCTGCACACCCTTCTGTGGCCCTGAGGGACCCGGGTGCAGTGGCAGCAGACGCCCCCCCCCAGACACCCATTCTCTCCCAGTTCAGGAAGTCTGAGGTCAAGGCGGGGGCAGGGCTGGTTCCTCCGGAGGCCTGACTCCTGGGCGTGTGGATGCGCCTCCTCCCTCATTTCTGTCTCTCCTGCGGCTTAGGACACCAGTCAGACCGGGTACAGGTCCCCCACCCCCCAAAACCCGGTGTATGTTGACGACCTAAGCCCCAGTGGGAAGGTATTAGGAGGCTCGGTGCCTCATAAGAAGAGACTGGAGAGCTGGTTCCCTGCCCGCCCCCCACCGTGTGTGCGAGCCAGGGAAGCAGCCCTCCCCAGGCCTGAGCCTTATCTTGGACCGCCAGCCTCCAGAATGTGAGAAATAAATGTGTGTTGTTTAAGCCAGGGCCCCCCCTCTTGTTAAGGAATCTATTATGATGATGCTGGATGAAATGGTAAGGAAGACTTTCTTTTTCTTTAAGTGATCTCTATGCCGAGTGTGGGGCTGGAACTCACGACCCGGAGATGAAAAGTCACTCGCTCCGCCGAGCCGGCCAGGCGTCCCCGGAAGGGAGACTCTATTCAAGACTCTTGCAGTGGGCCTGTGGCTGTAGAGAGAGAGTTTGGGCTCAGCGCCAAATATGAGGACAGCTGGGGGCAGACAGGGAGCAGGGGAGCATCAGGGCTGGGCACCTTCTTGCTAAAGGCAGGGAGGTGGGCCAGGGGCTTCTCCATGCGGGGGGGGGGGGGTCAGGGGACGTGAGGCACTTGATCAGGTATGACAGTGATTGAATAGGGGGGTGTCTCTCTAAACTCAGTAGGATTCTTGCTAAACCTGGCAAGGCAGGCTCAAGCGGGGTGGGGGGGAGCGGGCGGGGGGACAGGGCTGGGGGCTAGTGAAGAAGAGGTCAGAGGAGCCTGGCCAAAGGTCAGTCACCCTAATGGCCTCATTTTCACTTTGTCACCTCATTAACTACCTACAAACACAGTTACATTCTTAGGTGTGGGGGCTGGGACCTCTGCACAGGAATTCGGGCCCATTGGAGAAATGTCCCCATCCCAGGACTGGGGCAGGGGGTCCAGATGGGCCTGAAACACCTCGTGTGACAGAAAACAGGGTGTTGGGGCATCTGGTCGGTGAAGCGTCTGCCTTCGGCTCAGGTCATGATCTCAGGGTCCTGGGATTGCGTCCCTCATATCGAGCTCCCTGCTCCGCGAGGGCTTCTCCCTCTCCCTCTGCTTCTCTGCCTACTTGTATGCGCATGCTCTCTCTCTCTGTCAAATAAATAAATGAAATCTTTTAAAAAAGTAAAGGACGGACCTGAATGCACATTGGTGTGAATCATTGAGTAGGTACGGGAACGGGCGAGGCCCAGCTACTGTGTTGGAATGCCAAATAGCAAAGGTAGAGGGGGCCACGAGCTAGAACAATCCCCCCAGGCAACCTCTGTCATCGAAATGGATTCCGGCAGACTCTCCAGGGAAGTTTAGCCCAGAGAGCGCGGGTTTGAGAAGGTAACCGGGTATTTCCAAAGCATCTCTCCAAAGATACTTACTAGTTACAAAGCGTAAAACCTGCAGCTTCACAGCGGAGAATCCCCGCCGGAGAGGGGCCACGCAGACACCCCCGTCACCCCCGTGCCTTCCCCAGGAGGCCATCCCGCGCCAATCACAAGGAGACATCGGACGAATCAGGGACATTCCACCAGACGTCTGTCCTCTCCGCGTCACCAACGCCGTGGCTTCATGTAAGAGCGCCCACAGGGGCCCGGCCACTGGGTGCGGCGTGCTCGGGGACTCGCCCGAGGTGCTGGCAAACGGACTGTCGATTAGATCATGGGTTTGTACAGTGGTCACTTTTTATTTTCGGTTTGGTTGTCTTTTAAAGACTTAATTTCTCTAAAGCAGTTTTAGCTTAACTTCTTGATTTTGGCCTCTATCTTGTGGTTATGGAAAACAAATTCTTTTTCAGAAATAGACACTGAAGTAGTTGGTAAAGGGAAGCCATGTCTGCAGCTTAATCTTAACCATTCAGAAGAGCCAGCCGGTCAGAGGACATAAATAGATGGCACGCACTCACATTCGTATTATAGAGACAGACCGAGACACAGTGTGAAGAAAAGGCAATAAAAATTTAACATTCGGAGGCACCTGGCCGGCTCAGCTGGTGCAGCACGAGACTCTTGATCTCGGGGTCATGAGTTCAAGCCCCACGTTGGGTGTAGAGATGACTTAAAAATAAAATCTTAAAGAAAAAAAATTTAACATTTGGAAAATCTGGATGAAGGGCATCTGGGAATTCTTACTCTTCTTGCCACTTTTCTGACAGTCTGAAATTTTGTTAAAATTTTAAAAAGTTTTTTTAGTACTTGGGCGCCATAACAAATCACTATAAACTTGGACAGCTAGAAGTCCAAAAGGTGCCGGCAGGGCAGCGCTCCCTCTGTATCTGTAGGCTCCAGGGGAGGGTCCTTCCTGCCCCGCCCAGCTCGGGGGTGGGGGGTGGGGGGGTGGCCCGAGTCCCTCATCCTGGGCCAGCATGACTTCCGTCTCTGCCTCAGTCGTCCCAACTTCTCTCTTCTTACAAGGACACTGGTCATACTGGATTTAGCATTCCCCCCCCACCCCCCCACCCCCGCCCTTGTCCAGTACGACCTCCTCCTATGTTGATTAGATACTCAAAGACCCTATTTCCAAATAAGGTCATATTTACAGATTCCAGGGGTAAGTAAGAGTAATATTTGGAGATCTAGTGAGTATATGGGAATTCTTACTCTGTTCTTGCCACTTTAGTGACAGTCAGAAATGATGCCAAAATAAACGAATTCAGAGCATAATTTAAAACTTTCTTGTTCGGGGCACCTGGGTGGCTCAGTTGGTTAAGTGTCTGCCTTCGGCTCAGGTCATGATCCCAGGGTCCTGGATCAAGTCCCGCGTTGGGCTCCCTGCTCAGCGGAGAGTCTGCTTCTCCCTCTGCCTGCCGCTCCCCCTGCTTATTCTCTCTCTCTCTCTGCCAAATAAATAAATAAAATCTTTAAAATAAATAAATAAATAAATAAAATACTCCTGGTTTGAAACCCTCCAAGGGCCCCGGAGCGTGGAGGCTGAAGGCTCGACCCTGGCCTCCCCCTCCCCCCCACCACCCCCACCCCCGGCCACTCCTGTTCTTGCTTCGGTCACACTGACCACACTGACCTCTCCTGGGTTCTTCCAGCCCCTGAGCTTGCTCCTGCCCCAGGCATTTGCGCAGTGGCTGTTTTCAGCCCGGAACATTCCTTCTTGAGAACAAGATGTGGCTCCTCGGGTCACCTGTCACCTGTCCAGAGCGCCTTCCTGACCACCTGACCTCATACTAGCTCCCATCCACGCCTTCATCCTTCTTCACATTAATTCTCATTAGTGGAAATTTTGTTATAAAATGAGATCTAGTTGCGCCCCCTCCCCTAGAATAGAAACACCCCAGGGGCAGAGGCCCTGTTTGTTTGAGTTTCCCGGTATTTCCAGAGCCTGGGACAAAAGCCCACCAAGTCACTGCTGGATGAAGCGCGACCTCGAGGTGCTGGGCCGAGCTAACAATGCTTCTACCCCTGTGCACACCTTGGGGCACCGTCCCTGTCAGTCCTACAGCTGCCAGGGGAAACTCAAGGGTCCACCCCAGAACCTCAAGAGGCAGGCTCTTTAAAAGTCAAGAGCGCACAAGTTTGAAACCTTGTTGGCTGTGACCTCCCCGGTGGCCCCAGGGCGCCCTTGAAATGGGGAGGGCCTGTGTAACACGTGTTTCTGAGCGGCTTTTGTGACTTCTGGCAAGTCTCGGCGAGCTCCGGTCCCTTCCCAGTCTTGTGGGGCGGTCTCCAGCCCGGGCAAGCACTGGGTCTGCTGGGCACCTGCACGATGCGGGGCAGAAATCAAGCCCCGGAAACCCCGCCGCGGGGAATCCAGAGCCCGGGTGCCTGGTGCCTGCTGGGTGCCCCCCTGACCCGAGGCCGCGGGGACCAGGGCAGGCGTGGGGGTACCTAGCAGGTGGGCTACTTGCGGAGGATCATCCTCGTGGCCTTACCAGCCCTTCCCCGCTCCAGAGGGCCCGTGGTAAAACTCATCAACAAGTATTCATTACACTCCCGCAGAGCAAGCGGTTAACCAAGTAAAACGGAATCGGGATATCGAGTACGGAGCGTCCGCACCCCCAGGAGTCTGCGGTTCTGGTGGGGGGCCCAGGGGGCGGGCAGAGGCGGGGGGGTTCGGGGAACGCGGGGGAGAGATGAGGGTAAAGGGGCTCCTGGCCGGCGGATGCGTCAAAGGGGAGTGGAAACCGGGTCCAGGGCCCGCGGCTGGGCAGTGGGGGCGGGGGCGGGGGGCCGGAGGGTGTTGCGGGAGGGGTAGCACGGGGGAGGGGGCGGGGTCCGGAGCCTGCTGCTGGGTAGTGGGGGCGGGGAGGGGGATGCGGGCCGGGCAGCACGCGGGGAGGGGGCGGGGTCCCGAACCTGCTTCTGGGCAGTGGGGGCGGGGAGGGGGATGCGGGCCGGGCAGCACGCGGGGAGGGGGCGGGGTCCCGAACCTGCTTCTGGGCAGTGGGGGCGGGGAGGGGGATGCGGGCCGGGCAGCACGCGGGGAGGGGGCGAGGGCCAGTACCCGCGGCTGGGCAGTGGGGGCGGGGAGGGGGATGCGGGCCGGGCAGCACGCGGGGAGGGGGCGGGGTCCCGAACCTGCTTCTGGGCAGTGGGGGCGGGGAGGGGGATGCGGGCCGGGCAGCACGCGGGGAGGGGGCGAGGGCCAGTACCCGCGGCTGGGCAGTGGGGGCGGGGAGGGGGATGCGGGCCGGGCAGCACGCGGGGAGGGGGCGGGGTCCCGAACCTGCTGCTGGGCAGTGGGGGCGGGGAGGGGGAGGCGGGCCGGGCAGCACGCGGGGAGGGGGCGAGGGCCAGTACCCGCGGCTGGGCAGTGGGGGCGGGGGCGGGGGGCCGGAGGGTGTTGCGGGAGGGGTAGCACGGGGGAGGGGGCGGGGTCCCGAACCTGCTGCTGGGCAGTGGGGGCGGGGGCGGGGGGGTGGAGCGCGGTGGGTGGGAAGGGCGGGGACAAGCGCGGCGGCGGGCGGGGCGCTCCGCACTCGGGATTGGCAGGGCGCCGGCCCTCCGCCCCCGCCTCTCGGCCAATCGCCTGCGCGCACCGTCGGCCGCCGCGTCCCGCAGGCCCCGCAGCCCCAGGGTTGCGGCTCCGGTTAATAGGTGTCGGCCCCGCAGCTCCTCGCGCCTGGACGCGCCCAGCCCGCCCCGCTTTCCTGCGTCTCCGTCCAGGTGAGCGCCCGCCGGGCCGAGACCCGCCCCGCCTCTCGGCCGGGGGCTCGGGCGGGGGTCCCGCCGGGGCCTGGGTCGCCCCCCCCCTCCGCCGGAGTTGCATCATCTTCACCTGCACGCGGCGGAACAGGGCCGGCGCCCCGCGCCCCCGGACCCTGCCCGCTCCCGCGCGTCCAGGCCGTCTTGCAGCCTGGGTTCAGCGCCCACGTGGCCCCGGGCCGCCCCCCAGCTCCCGCTTTTGTAGAGCGGACGGGGTGGGGGGCCGGGAGCCGGGCTGCGATCATTGATTTTTCGCTGAATTTTGGACGGTAAAGGGCTATTTCGCAAATCGCTTCTTTCCGCCAGTTGTATGAGGTGGGAGTAAATATTGATGTTGCGTGGGCGGCACGTGAGGTGGGTGCCTAGGGGGGGAGGCGACGCGGGGTCGTGCCCCGGGCACATACGCGGGGGTGAGGGAGGATGCCCTAAGACCCCCACTTCCGCAAGCCCTAGGCGAGGCGGATGGCCGAACGCGCTTTTAGCTTCTCGAGGATTACCTGGGCGTGCTTCTCCCGAACTGTCCCGAAGTGCCCCTCCCGGGCGGTCTCCCACTCGGGATTGGCAGGGCGCCAGGGTCTCCCAATCCTCTGTAGGGTCTCGATCTCCCACCTGAAAACGCACACTTTAAGAGAGGAGTTTTCTCCCTCTGCACCCTTGACCTGCCCCCTTCCCCCAACACTGGGCCGACTGGCGCGTGTCTGCAGAGTACAGGGTGCACTCGGGGCGTTGTGACCCAGGAGGGTCTTGCGCTTTAAGGTGGGGCGGGAGCCAGCCGGGCGGCGCCAGGTGAGCCCGCCTCCCCAGGACGCACGTGCGTCGGGGTGCTGGGGCGGGGGGCGCGGAGCCCGCGGGTTCCGACCCGGTCGGCGAGCGGGCGTCCGGCCCAGGGCTTTTGGGGGCCGCGGAGACTCGCTCGGCTTCCCCCTGGGCACGCAGCGGCTCCTCACCTGGCCGGAGGTTGCGCCCGGCGAGGCGAGTCGCCGGGAAGGAGGCGCGGGGCTGCCCCGCGTCTTCCCGGGCCGCGTCTGCGAGCGATGTGGCCGGGCCGTCGGCCTCTGATGGGGAGCGACGTCTGTGACTCGGGGGCTTCTGCAAGATGGGAGATCACCTGCCCGCGGGCTACTCTGGCGCCCGACGGAGAACCGGCGCTGTTCCGCTTAGGTCTTTCCAAAAGGAGGGAGGACATCCTTGAGGGGCTTCAGGGAAGGTCTGAACCTCGATAAAGGAAGTGGGTGATCCCGAGGCTTGGAAGAACCGCCGCTCTAAGGACGCGGGCAGGACAGCTGGGAAGGCTGGTTTCTCCCAGAAGGCCCCCAGCCTCGGGGGGCCTGGAGAATTTCCAAGGGGTGTGTGACTTGAAAAGGGTGCAAAGGTTCCTAACTCCCTGTTGGCAGGCTCTGGCCTAGGGGTCTGTGGGCAGCCGCTGGGCTGGGCTGCATCAGGCCACCTGAGCTGGGGGAGAGGGACCCAGCTGGGGCTTCCTCTGCCCTTGCTGATAACCCGCCTGCCTGGCCGGGTGAGCTCCACAGGAGAAAGGGAGCAAGCGAGCGGCCCAGGAGCCTGGATTTACAGCTCCACGGGAGGAGCCCTGTGCACCTTCAGCCCAGTTCCCCAGGGCCCTCGACCTTTTCACTGCAAAACTGAAGCTCCTGGGGAGCAGAGGAGGTGCACGGCTGGGATCTGGGGTCCCTCCTGCCTGTCAGAAGAGCTCTGCGGCTGTGTTCAGAGACCACCCTGAGCCACATCCCTTACCATGGGCTTCCTGGCAGGGACTTTTCCAAACCCGCAGGATTCAGAGCCTTTTTTTTTAAAGACTTTATTTATTTGTTTGGCAGATAGAGAGTGCGCAAGCAGGGGGCGCAGCAGGCCAAGCAGAGAGCCCAACATGGGGCTCGACCCCAGGACCCTGGGATCATGACCCCAGCCAAAGGCAGGAACTTAACTGAGCCACCCATGCGCCCCTAGCCTTTTTTTTTTTTTTTTTTTTTAGAGCAGTTTAATTTTAGGAAAAATTGAGAAGACAGGACGGAGAGTTCCCACGTATATGCCTGCCACCTAACACAGTTTCCCTGATTAGTCTCTTGCATTCGTAGGTACCTGTGTGACAGCGAACAGGACTCTTCACTGAAGTCCATACTTACTCAGGTTCCCGTAGTTTCCCCTAACACCCTGTTTGTCTTCCGGGATTGCAAGCAGGACCTATCTCCTTTGTGCCACAGAGTTTCCGCTGTGGGAAGTTCTCCGCAAGCAGTGCATACTTAGCTGGGCTCTGTCTTCTGGTCAGTGTGGGAAATGGAAGAAGGCAGCAGAAGAGGGGCTGAGCTCAGTCCCCGTCTCTCCGAAGATGAGGGTGGCACCTGCTAGTTGTCTCCCCAGAGGAACGAGGCAGGGCTACAGCCAAGTGAAGCCTCACCCCTGAGTGAGCCCGCCCCCTTCCCTCCCTCCCTTCCGTCCTTCTGTCCGCCTGTCCCTATTGTTCAAGGGTCAACTGTGTTTAAGGTGTAAAACTTGATTTTTTTTTTTTGAGAGTGTTAGCGAGCGCTTGCACACGCGAGAGAGGGAGGGGCAGAGGGAGAAGGAGAAGCAGACTCCCCACTCAGCAGGGATCCTGATGCGGGCCTCTATCCCAGGACCCCCGGATCATGACCTGAGCTGAAGGCAGATACTTAACCAACTGAGCCGCCCAGGCGTCCCTGATTTTGTTTTTAAGATTGAAAGAGAGAGAGCCCGCACACGCGTGCACACTCAAGCTGGGTTGGGAGGGGATGGAGGGAGAGGGAGAATCCCGAGCAGACTCCCCGCTGAGCGTGGATCCTGACATGGGGCTCGATCTCATGATCCTGAGATCATAACCTGAACTGAAATCAAGAGTCTGATGCTCAACTGACTGCATCACCCAGGTGCCCCTGATTTTTTTTTTTTTTTAAGATTTTATTTGAGAGAGAGAATGAGAGAGAGAGAGAGCAGGAGAGGGGGGAGGGTCAGAGGGAGAAGCAGACTCCTTGCCGAGCAGGGAGCCCGATGCGGGACTCGATCCTGGGACTCCAGGATCATGACCTGAGCCGAAGGCAGTCGCTTAACCAACTGAGCCACCCAGGCGCCCTGATTTTTTTTTTTTTTTTTTAGTGGAACCTGCCCTACGTGCGCCAGTCGAGACAGAAGCCCTTTTTACAACTTGGTGTTTGGGTCTGATGTATACATTGTGAAACAGGCACAGTCAAGGAGGATACCCGTCACCTCCACATAGGAGCCTTTTTTTTTTTCCCCACACGCCCCCATATTGAGAAAAAATTTTAAACTTTATTATTTTTTTATGGCCAGATATTTCCATTGTGCAGATATGCTGCATTCTGTTTATCGCTTCATCTATGGTGGACACTCAGTTTGTTTCCACGTGTTGCCCATTGTGAGCCCGAACGTGGTGTGCAAACATCTCTCCCCAGTTGTCTGGGTATATGCCTGGGAATGGGACGCTGGCTCACATGGTGGTTCTGTGTTTAACCTCTTGAGGAACCACCAAGCCATGCCCAGCAGCTGGGGCTGCAGTCTGTGTTCTTGTTGAGCTGTTTGGGTGGAGCCCCGCCCCCCCGGGGACCAGGTGAGCCGAATTCCCCTGGTCCAGCGGCAGCAAAGCGGACTCGGCAGCAGGTGTTTAGAAACGGCCTGAACCGACTGAGTCTCTCCGCTCCCTTTGCCAGATCCCAGCATGCCTTCCGAGACACCCCAAGCAGACGCGGGGTCTGCAGCGTGCCCCCACCTCTCAGGGGCACACCTGGAGAAGGGGCCCCCCGGGGACAAAGAAGCCAAGGAGCGCCTGTGGATCCGTCCCGATGCCCCAAGCAGGTGCTCCTGGCAGCTGGGCAGGCCCGTCACGGACTCTCCGCATCATCACACTGCCTTGTAAGTACCTGTTCCGGTTCCCAGTTGGTTTGTCTCTTACCTTGAAGGGAGGAGTCTGTGTCCTGGAAGCCACATAGCCGTGTAGACCTGAGGTGTGGTCCCCCCTCATAATCACTCTGGAGGGGTGGTGAGCTGGGGCGGGGGGCACTGTAGGGATGAGTGGCCCGAGGCTCAGAGAGGCCAAGGCTTGTTTGCTCTGTAGCCCAGCACCTAGATCAGTGCCCAGCGAGAGTCGATGGTGAGTCAGTAGCTGGATGTGCCCCAGTGGCAGACTTGGAGCGACCCGTGGAGGTGACATTTCTAGCCCCCTCCACTGGCTGCACCCACGTATGGGAGGAGAGCCTGCAGATTTCCAATCAGTAGGAACACGCCCGCACTTTTTTCTACTTAACTCTAGGTGATGAACGCTCCTGATCATGAAATATTTTCCTGCGAAGGGCTCTTTTCGTGGTTGGGCCCCAACTGTTGGATAAAGAATTGTTAAGCTCTCTATTGAGTATTTAGATGTTCGCAATGATCTTGGGTGAATAACTATCAATATAAAACTGCATCTTTAACAAGAGCCCACGGTATCTGTGCCCTGTTCTAGATGCAGGAGATCTGTCTGTGGGAAAGGAAAAAAAAGACAAAAATCCCTGTCTCGTGATAAAACTTGACTGCACTAAACCTTAGGCTTGTCTTCTGTCCTTAGTATAATCTCCTGGAAGCAGAGAATGTGCTCTCACGTGTTGGATTTTTGTCCCGGATACAGTGCTATACCAGTGGTCGTAATTCCTGGTTTGAACATCAGAAGCGAGGGGTGGAGGGGGGTGCAGGCCTCAGCGGGGCTGAAAAATGTACAAATCCAGAAGCTGCAAACATTAAATGTGTCTCAGTGCCAGGAGCTGAGGAGGCCACGTCGGCCGCTGGCCAGACGGGATGAACCCTCACTTCCCAAGCAAAGCCGAGCGGGGGCAGAAGGGCCGTGTGAGGCTGGGGTGTGGTTGCTGCGGGGTGGGGGTGGGGGCAGGGGGCAGCAGAGAGAGACCGGGGTTCCTGAGGGCTCCTGAGCTCTCACTCGGAAAGCCTGGTGTGGAGAGGATGCTCTCTTACCTGGGTCGTAAAATGGTGTTACACCTGCACCTCACATACTGGCCTAATTAGCCTGTTTAAAGATGCGGTGGGATTGCCCTCCTGAAGGCCTCCAGGCTCGCCCCTGCTCAATTCTGTACCCGGTCCTGGTTCCCGTGTAAGCTTCTGGGGGCTCACCCTCCTTGCCCTCCTTAGCCCCTGCTGGGCCAGGAAGATTCAGGGGTAGCTGTTTAGCTCTGTCCCTTTGACTAGTTAATGAATCAACCCCCAGCCTCACCCTGAGGGCCTGGCCTCCCTCCAAGGCTGACGTCAGGAGCCCTTGGCCCCCAGCCAGGCTTTCCCTTCAGCCCAGCATCTGTGAGGTACCTCTCTGCTGGGCTTGCCTCCGGCCTGCCCGGGGTGTCCCCCCGAGCCTCTTGGAAGGCTGCAGTTGGAGGTTGGGTTCCAGCTTGTCCGCCTGGAGGCCTGTTTGGGCCCCCGGCGTGGGATGCTCCGCCTTAGCGCCTCCAGACCCCCTGGGAAGCTGGGCCTGCTGGGGCTGGGCGTGGGGCCAGATTCCTGGAGCAGTGGGCTCGCCGGAGTCTGAGAACCCTGGGATGTATGTTAGAAAGCCAAGGCTGTGGGAAGCGATTGCATTTCTCGGAACTCAGGTCAGTGGTGCATATTGCCAAGCGAATATTCGGTGAGCCCATCCGTGGTGCAGACAGGAGGAGGGTGTGGAATTGGCATCAGTCCCCGAGGGTAAGGATGGAGGAAACTTCCTGGGGGCCCTTCAGGAAATGCATCTATCATGGTTTGCACGCACGCCAGCCGGGCTGTCCACACCCGCCTGTCACCTGAAGAATGGGGAGAGGGAGCCAGTCACTCGAGTGTGAAGGGAGACTGTGGGTCCATGATATGGAAACCCACACTGAGCTGGAGGGCCTTCTGGGAATTCATCCTGACCTTGACCCCAGGGGCTCCAGGGACTCCCCGAAGGTCTTTGTGGTTTTGTTGGGAGCATGGTGCTTCATACCACCTGGGCCCAACATTTTCTGAACGACGCCAGATGTCCGGCCCGCACCCTTGGCAGCCGCCGTCCTCGGCCTGGTGGGCAAACAGGCGGCCTGGGGGGTCTGGGGCTCTGGGGTTGGCACCAATTTGTTCATCAAGGAAAAGAAAAGGAGGAATCCTAGGGGTCGGGGTGAGAGAGGGATGGAAGTAAGGGTCCCCGGAAGAGACTTTCTGAACAGATGGACCAGGACCTGTCGAACTTAGTGCTGTTACTTCAACCTTCTTATTTGGAAATAACACAAGAAGTCGCAGAAACGACACAGAGGGGTCCTGCGTCCCTGCGCCCAGCCGCCCTGTGACGCCCGCCGCCCTGGACACGACCTTGGCACAGTCGACCTTAGCTGAGCTACCGGCGGGGTTCGCTTCCGTCGGCTCCCATGCGTCCTCACGTGGCGTGTGTGCACACGCGTGTGTGAATGTGCCTGTGACCGTAGATCTGTGCCATCACCCAGATCCCAGTAAAGCCAGTTCTTTGATTTGCTTCTTGATTAAAACAACGTGCTGGACTGCCAAGTCTGAATAATCACGGACTCCTCTGTTTTAGGGCAAAATCCCCCAAAATCTTGCCAGATATCCTGAAGAAAATTGGGGACACCCCCATGGTGCGAATCAACAAGATTGGGAAGAAGTTTGGCCTGCAGTGTGAGCTGTGTGAGTACCTGGCGCCCTCTGTCCGGTGCTTGGCCGGGTGGCTCGGTGGGCCCGGGGATGTGGGGTGGCCCCCCGGGCCCCTCGTGGGGGGCAGAGGGGCCAGGAAACGAGCTGGCAGAGGATGTCCGAGACCGTATCCGGCCCAGCAGCGACGTGCCGGGGTGACGGAGCTGGCCGCTGTGGTTGGGGCCGCACGCTGGTCAGCTCAGACTCCCGCTTCAGCGCCGGCCTTCACACGGGCTAGTTAGAATGACGGCATTCGGTAGTTCAAGTGTGGGACCTGGAAGGGTCCCGGGGCGCAGGCCTGCCGAGCGGCCAGGCATTCGGGAGCTCCCACTCATCACATAGCAGCACATTCTCCCGCCAGGGCCTCTGCCCGGCTCTAGGGGGTAAGTCCGTGGTTGGATTTCAGAAATCGGGGCAGACTAGGCGCAAGGTGGTCGTGCCCATGTTACGTAGGCCGGCCCGGGCCCATCCACGCGCATCTGGTGCCGTAGCCATCCCGCCTTTTACAAGCGCTGGGTGTTTGGGAGGGAGCCTTCCCACGGGAAAGAAGAGCAGAGACGGGTCAGGGAGAACTCGGGAGAGCCCCGTGTGCCTGGGCGAGGGGCTTCTCCCAGTGAGGAGGGTGACAGGAGGCAGGCGTGGAGCATTTGCAGGCCCTGATCGGACAGGGCAGGGCCACGTCCTGTTTAAGGGGGGGCGTGGGGCTCACATCGGCCGCCTGCTGCATGTCCCATGAGTCTGTGTTGGGACAGTGCTCCCCCAACGGGGGTTTTCCTGGCCCATGCACCCAGCAGGGGCTCCCGGTGCCTTTTTCTCCTTCACTTGGAATGGCTGTGGGGCCGACAGCAGGTGGACGGGCACGTGGGAGTCCCCCAGTGAGCCAGCGCTGACCCTCCTCCAGGCGCAGGCGGGAGGTGGGAATGGAGAGGGGCTGGTTTGCAGAACCAGCAAAGACTGTGTCTGTCCCCACATCCTGCCTGTATCAGAGTAAGGGTGGGGGGGCGCGGCAGGGATCGGTTAGGGGGCAGGGGCCTTCTCTCGTGATTCAACCTCGGCTCCCAGTGGCCAAGTGCGAGTTCTTCAATGCGGGCGGGAGTGTGAAGGACCGCATCAGCCTGCGGATGATTGAGGACGCCGAGCGGGCTGGGACGCTGAAGCCCGGGGACACCATCATTGAGCCGACGTCCGGGAACACAGGTGGCTGTTGGGACAGGCAGGAGGGTCCCCTGGCCTGGGGCGCGCTGCAGCTGCTTGCAGCCTGTCTGGCGGGCCTCTTCCCTTGGCCGTTTGCTCAGCACCTGATGCACGCGTCCAGGGTGGGGCTGGGGGCGGGGGCCCAGGACAAGCGGGAGGCGCCGGGCGTCATGTTGCTTCTGGGTGGGCACGCTCACCTTTGCCTTTCTACCTCTGGCGTTCTCTG